TAAGACATGCAAACATAAAAGAAAACCAAACTGGACGCGAGAACAGCTATATATTAAGGATATGATCAAAAATTTGGAGATGGGATAACCTCCAAACCAAAGCCGATACCATTTTAAAAGCTCATTATCGTCAAATGTTTCTAAAATGTTTATATTCCGAGGTAGATTGCTGGCAACAGCCATTTTTAGGATAGTTCAGATTTGGTCTTAGTGACTTAGGAGTCCTCTTCACTACTCCTAACCTTTCACAGATTCAGGAGCTAATTTTAGAGCTAAAACGCTTTGTGAAATACCCTTAGAACAAAAATGTAGGAGTACTAAATTTAGGACTGACACGCCCATTATTTTTAAGATTTTCTCCTAAATCGGCGAGTTATGAGCTACTTTTAGCCTTAAGATACGGGCCCAGGATTTGAATTTTTAATGTTATTATAACCTAAAGATGCTATGTGAAAGTTTGAAACAGAATAGTGGTTTTCATCTTGCCACTTTCTTGGTAAAGAAAACACATTTTTACTCAAATTAATCAAAATGGATTTATAGCGTTTTTGTATATATGTATATATGTATATGTATGTATGCATGTATGTAACGTATGTAATATCTAACTTTATGGACTGCATATTATATTATATATTATATTACATATTATATTATTATCCCGTGTCCGTAAGCCTCACCTGATGATGCTGTCCACACAGTTGATCTGCTGGTAGGATGGGATGTGTGGTCGTTTCCGGGCTTCTTGTAGAGACTGCTTTAGATGATCTCTAATTCCCAAACCCTGACTGGTATTAGGATAAACGCCTGCTGCCGCCACTGATGGAAACAAATACAGTTATATATTACATATTGACCAATTCATGAGATGACTGTAGACGGGTGTAGAAAAGACATTCCAGACCTGCAGTGGCTGGTCCTAAAGGTGTGAGCTTCCTCCGGGAGTCCAGATACGCCTGCTGGCCCCAGTTCTTCACTTTATTGACATCAGCACAAAACTGCTGCAATGTCATCTACAAGACAAAAGATCCATCGTTAGGTCTAGTCAAACCAACAATCATATGTGACTTTACATGTACTTTCAGGCGTACTGGTTCTCTGTGCGAATCCTCCCAGAGGTTTCCGTTACTGTCGCTGGAGGACGCCACACTGATGTAGTGCTCGTGAGAGCCGTTACTACCCAGACTGCCATAGCCACTGGATCCATTATTATGAACAGGCTGAGTGAAAGACAGATACGATTCAAATGCAAACAAGCAGCTCAAATGTGCTTTGCAACTGTAGCAAAGCCACATATGAAGCAGTGTTATTTTAGCATTATTTATATACTATCATAGTTATTATTTTTTTGTTTAATTCTAAATTTTGCTTAATTTCTGGAAAAAATTTTTTACGTGCTTTTGTCATTTGTATTTTTTTCATATTTAATTTTATTTCAGTTTTATTTCCATTAACAAAGTTTTTTTTTTTTTTTTTTTTTTTTTTTTTTTTTTTAGTGAAAGTTTATTTTATAATTTTTCAGCTTTATTTCAATTTTTAATAGTTTAAGGTTTAGTTAACAACAATAACCCTGATATGAAGTTACTGATGCAGATAAAGCAACTAATACCAGTCAATAACTATTGATATTTGCTGGTCAATATCTAATTGTGGACTGACTATTTTTATATTTTGGATTGCGGTCATCTTGCTCTAATCAAAGGATGGCACTACACATGACATTTTTAAAAAAGCCCTATTTTTTGAAGAGTGCTTTCCTATAACTGATTTGACAGTACAAAAACGAATGTCTTTAAGTTTTAATGAGTTTATCTGAACAGCTTTTATATAATTTGGGTCTGTTCCTCACACAAAGTGATCCATGCTAAACTATTCAAAAACATTTGTCTGGGGTCAGAGAGATTTGTATGTTTTTGAAAACAGTCTCTTAGGCTGCATTCATTTGATTAAAAATACAGCAAAAAACAGGAAAATTGTGAAATATTATTGTAGTTTAAAAAAAATGTTTTCTATTTTAACATTTTAAAATGCAATTTATTCCTGTGATGCAAAGCTGAATTTTGAGTATTGAATCTTCATCAGCCATAACTCCAGTGTTTGGTCTCACATGATTTTTGCTGCTTAATATTTTTGTGGAAATCATGATGTATTTTTTTCAGGATTCTTTGATGAATAGAAAGTTCAAAAGAACAGCATTTATTAGAATTTTTTGTAACATCATAAATGCCTTTACTGTCACTTTTGAACAATTGGCCTGCAAAAAGGGTGCTAACGTAGCTTGTCCTCAGTAGATTTAGTGATCTCTCACCTGTAAGAAGAGCTTGTAGATCATGGCTTGCAGCTCTTTAACGTCCTCACACATGACTGACTGCTCAGCTTTACTCCGTGCAGCAAAAACGTCATCATTCAGAGGTCCACTACAGAGAAGACACACAAAAACAAGTGTTTCTGTATGAGCAAATGTCAATGCTTGGATACACAACACAACTGGCGCACTCACGAGCCGGCGCTTACGTGCGAACTTTGTGCCTTCCGATGATGAAGGCCACCTTACGGCTCCAGGGGTTGATGAAGCTGGACCAGCTGGAGTCCAAGGTGACGTAGTCGCCGTTCTGACACTGGAACCGGATGGGTGAGTGTTCAAACGGAGGCTGGCCCGCGTACTTCAGAACTGAAGGGATCATGCCAAATTTTATTAACACCTTTTTATAACAAGACTGCTAAAGACTTTACGGTGTAGTTGTAACGGACATACTTTTGCGGTGCATGGACAGCATGAGCAGGCGGTCGTCTGGATGCAGGCAGGTCAGAACTGAGGTACCGATCAGATCCTGAGGGAGGTAGCCGAGCAAAGGCACCGCACTGCGGACACACACACACACACACACACACACACACACACACACACACACACACACACAAACAAAACTAA